GACATATCTGGGGGTCCGACTTACCACTACCATCACGGAACTTTACAACATCAATTACCCTCCCCTCATAGAGGATATTAAACAAGATCTGCACACATGGGATTTACCCCATATCTCCCTAATGGGCAGGATCGGTGTCTTAAAAATGATGGTCCTGCCAAAAATACTATATATACTTCAGGCCCTGCCTATTCCACTTCCAGGGACATTTTTTAAACGAATGAAGACTATCTTCGTTAAATATATATGGGGAGACAAACCGGCAAGACTTGCCTTTACCACACTGACGTCCACCACGGACAGGGGGGGCTTGGGATTACCTCACATATATAAATATTATGTAGCAGTCTTACTTACCAGACTAAAAGAGTGGACAGACACAAGTAAGAAAAGATCGTGGTACGATCTAGAACAGAGCTTTGTACCGGTCCCTCTTAAGACCCTCCCGTGGCAAACATGCCAACTCAAACACCTAACCCCCTCAAGACACCCACTCATTCACAACACGCTCACAGTCTGGAGACGACATAAAGATAAGTGGGGACTGTCCCCTGGAATCTCGAGATTTTTCCCCACGGCCTATAATCCTGACTTCCAGCAAGGACAGGGAGGGCCCTCTCTTGCCCGCCTCACGGGAACGCACTCACCGGACATTACTGAGCTACTAACTGAGGATGACCCACCTACATTTAAAGATAGACAAGTAACACAGAGACACACCACCCTCCTAGACATTATGAGCAGAGCACAGCTTAAGGGATTCCTGACGAGACACGTCCTCCCCCTCTGGACCCGAAGAGGAGATACACGCTTTGAACTCCTTTGTGGTCCAAAGGGCGACCGTAAACGGCCCTTATCTAAAATATACCGTATCCTACAGTCGGCAGACAGGGACCCTACGACTCCCACATTCCAACAGAAATGGATGACAGACCTTCACATACATCTCTCGGACAAGGACTGGTCTAGTATTATGGAGACAGGACTCAAAACCTCGATCAGTGTCACGCGTAAAGAGACCTTCTATAAACGGATTACCAGATGGTATAGAACACCAGCCGTATTACACGCTCTATGCCCTTCACTTAACAATATCTGCTGGAGATGCTCAGCCGGTAGAGGGGATATGTTACACATCTGGTGGAGCTGCCAGGACATTCAGCGTTTCTGGCAACTCATAATCTCTGAGATTACAAAGATACTAGCACCAGCCACCCGCCTAGCAGCACCCCAGGTACTGCTTGGCTGGCCATGCACATTTAGAGAACCGAACAAACAACACTTATTGCACATTTTGCTAGGTGAGGCAAACGCCCTGATCCCACTGTACTGGCGTAAACCCAGTATTCCGACCATGGAACAATGGGTACAGAAAGTGGAGGGAGTGAGGGAGCTAGAAGACATCCACTGGTCGATAATGGGGAAACGTAATAGACACCTCAAGACTTGGGAACCCTGGACAGAGTTTTGGACTCATTCCAGGACATAACCGTCCAAGAGACAGTCCCGGGCGGGACTGGACCCTTAGCAGTCAGATAAGAGGAGCGAGTCATGAAACAGCAAAATATGTTGAACACGGGAAGAGTTTAAAAGAAACTACATAATGACCACCCCGACCTAGGCAGGGTCACCATCCCCCTCCCCACCCCCCCGCAATCCCCCCCACTAGCTGTTGATCTTTACGGTTACTCACACAAACCACCATACCCGGGACGGTAAGGGGACAACTTCTTGCTTTCCGACCTCCACTAAAGGAAAAGTGTACACCTTTTGGTATAACCTTGCTGTAACCCCGGACAAGTTTTATGCCGGGACGCTTATGTGTGTGATGTGAAATGTATCAAAGATGCACTGTTCATGTAACCCTGAAATGTGATCAGTGAATACTCCCCTTTTCTTTCTGTACCCCATTTCCTTGTACACGAAAAATAAAAACAATTTAAATAAAAAAAAAAAAAATTGCATTAGGCTTGTCAATAAAAGCAAAAATTTTAAGAAACCACTGTGGTACTCCGCAGATGTGGCCAAAATAGTAAAAAACAAAAAGTTAGAATGTAGTAATTATAAAATAATTTGGGTAACTAAAATAATAGATATGGGTGGTGCAGAAGACATTGCCTACCTAGATTTCAGTAAGGCATTTGACACTGTTCCACATAGAAGGCTCATCAATAAACTACAATCTTTAAGTTTGGATTCCAATATTGTTGAATGGGTTAGGCAGTAGCTAAATTACAGGCAACAGAAGGTTGTTTTCAACGGAGTATATTCGAAGCAAGGTCTAGTTACCAGTGGGGTACCTCAGTGATCTGGACTTGGACCCATTCTCTTTAATATTTTTATTAGTGATATTGCAGAAAGTCTTGATGGTAAGGTATGTCTTTTTGCTGATTATACTAAGATATGTAACAGGGTTGATGTTCCAGGAGGAATAAGCCAAATGGCAAATAATTAAGGTAAAATATAAAAATGGTCAGAGCTGTGGCAACTGACATTTAATATGGATAAGTGCAAGATAATGCACCTTGGCTGTAAAAACCCAAGGGCAGAGTATAGGATATTTGATACCCTACTAACCTCAATATCTGAGGAAAGAGATTAAGGGGTGATTATTTCAGTTGACTTATAGGTAGGAAGACAATGTAATAGAGCAGCTGGAAATGCTAGCAGAATGCTTGGTTGTATAGGGAGAGGTATTAGCAGTAGAAAGAGAAAAGTGCCCATGCCATTGTACAGAACACTGGTGAGACCTCACTTGGAGTATTGTACGCAGTACTGGAGACCGTATCTCCAGAAGGATATTGATACTCTAGAAAGAGTTTAGAGAAGGGTTTCTAAGAGCTGGTTCATGGATTGCAGGATAAAACTTACCAGGAAAGGTTAAAGGATCTTAAAATGTATAGCCTGGAGGAAAGACGAGACAGGGGGTTGAGGGGGGGTGGGGATGGGTTATGATAGAAACATTTAAATACATAAAGGGAATCAACACAGTAAAGGAGGAGACTATATTTAAAAGAAGAAAAACTACCACAACCAGAGGACATAGTCTTAAATCAGAGGGGCAAAGGCTTAAAAATAATACCAGGAAGTATTACTTTACTGTAGGTAGTGGATGCATGGAATAGCCTTCCAGCTGAAGTAGTAGAGGTTAACACAGTGAGAGGGTTTAAGCATGCATGGGATCGGTATAAGACTATCCTAGACTTTAGATAAGGCCAGGGACTAATTAAAAAAAAATGAAATATTGTGCAGACTAGATAGGCAGAATGGTTCTTATCTGCTGTCACATTCTATGTTTCTATGTATTGCATATTGTCATATTAATACCCTCTGACTATCGTGACACGCTAGATCACACCAGTTCGCTAGCTGCCTGGCATTAAAAAGTGAGCAACACAGCAAATGGTCTACTTAGGTTCCAGCCACACCAGACAGCATTTGAGGTCGTGTTGTTTGAGGGATGAGGACATGGTATAGGTAGGGGATATTTTGGTTGGTTACTGTGAACGGGGATCTGTGTATATGAGGGTGTGTATCTGACTCTGTGTCTGGTTGGCAGTGTGTGTACAAGTCTGTGGCTGTATATCTGACAGTGTGTGAGTCTGTGTGAGAGTATGTTTGACAATGTGTGTTTGTGCCTGTGTGTGTCTGATGTTTGTAAAACGAGTTGTAGATAATCTTTAATGTTTTGTTCAATTATAGAATTTCCATCAATTCTTTTTAATAACATCTTTAGAATAACCTCTCCACAGGCAATCAATCAATCAACCAACCAACCAACCAACCAATCAGACAGAATTGAGGGCTTCTCACATAAAAAAAGTTGCCTTCAATGGTTCTCTGTGTGAAGCATCGTTGGAGGATCATGGTGACATCTCAAAATTTCAAATGGACAAAGAGAGACACTTAAATTTTAGGGGTGTGAGTGGATGTGTAAGGGACAGGGCTCTTCTGATAAATTGTAGGTGACTAGTAATTAATGAAATAAAAACATAATTAATAACAAGAACAATGTATGTTCACAGACTGATTTCTAAATACATTATTGTAGTTCAAAGATGTCGGCCGGGCGGACAAACAAGGAGCTGCCTCATGGGGTTTGATGAAGCAGGTGGGTAAGTATTGGCAGGCTGTGGTTAGGAGCAGCGCGAGACGGAGGTTAGGTGCAGGGAAACGCGAGCGCTTAGTTGAGCGGGCATGGCTGATGCCCTCATTGGTGAATCGTGGCGCGTGGCATTTAGCAGTGGGAATTTCGGGAGTATAAATGTAAAGGTGCCAAAATCGTTTACCTCAACTTGTGCCAGACAATTAACAAGGTTGGCTGCTTGTAAGGATTTTTGAGCTGCAGCTCCCACCCACCCACCCTTCCCTTGTTATTAATTTATGTCGTAACCTTGTTATGGGATACAATTCACCCTCCTGGGCACCACAGGAGGGTGGACTGGTTTGTGCTGTGTGTCTCAGTGCTCTTTTAATGAGAAGCATTGCATTGTAAAGAAGATCCTCACTGGTTATAATTTCTTAAAAGGAGGGAGGGAGGGAGAGGATTTATTTATTTCTAACGTGGGAGTGGTTTTAATTTTTTTTTTTTTTTGTAATTATAATAAAAAAATGACACTATGCAAATGATGAAATGCATTTTATTTCAAATGCTCCACTCTCCCGCTTTGTGGGTAGGGACCTTCACATTTTAGCATCCTTGCGTTTCACTGCGTTCCACTGACGTCACGAGTGGGCGGGGAAAAGCGGAACCACAAAAACCACAAACAAAATAAGAAAATAGCAAGCGTAGTTAAATCCTATGCCATAAGGCAGTATACAGGCTATTCCTTCTGTTAATTTGAACATGAATTGTGCTCAGCCATTATAGTATTAATCACGTGTGCCAACCACAACATGGCGGCTTCTCTCCCATAGATCATTTCTAGCCCCGCCCCTAAATTCTTTTGCTGGAGTCAGGCTATGCGGTGGGCGGGGCATGTGTGGCCGGTGGGCGTGGTGTGTGTGACAGTATCACATCGCGCTGGTTGTGCTGGAAGTGGGATCATCCTGCGAGGCTGCTGCAGATTCCGTGTGGTTGGCGGAGCTGCGGAACCATCCCTGAGATTCTGTGTGAGAAGTGGAGCTCTGTGAGGGTCCTGGGATATAGTGTGAGGAGCTCTGTGAGAATTCTGGGATATAGTGTGAGGACAGGAGCTCTGTGAGAATTCTGCAATATTGTGTGAGGAGCTCTGTGAGAATTCTGGAATATTGTGTGAGGAGCTCTGTGAGAATTCTGGAATATTGTGTGAGGACAGGAGCTCTGTGAGAATTCTGGAATATTGTGTGAGGACAGGAGCTCTGTGAGAATTCTGGAATATTGTGTGAGGACAGGAGCTCTGTGAGAATTCTGGAATATTTTGAGGAGCGGGACTGGACCCATCTAGCCTGCAACCTCCCACTCTGTGTGAACAGCAGGACTTCACACGGTAAGTTCACACAGGATGGATACAGGCGGCAAATGGGAGGGCAAGGTGGGGGGGTACGGCCTTGGCATGGATAGGAGGGCAAGGTGGGGGAGTACATGGCTATAGGAGGGCAAGGTGGGGGGAGCATACTATAGGAGGGCTACATAGGAGCAAGGTGGGGGGAGCACATGGCTAGGAGGGCAAGGTGGGGGAGCATGGCTATAGGAGGGCAAGGTGGGGGAGTAAGATGGCTATAGGAGGGCAAGGTGGGGGAGTACATGGCTATAGGAGGGCAAGGTGGGGGGGGAGTGGCCATGGCTATAGGAGGGCAAGGGGGGAGTACATGGCCATAGGAGGGCAAGGTGGGGGCACATGGCTATAGGAGGGCAAGGTGGGGGGAGTACATGGCTATAGGAGGGCAAGGTGGGGGGGGAGTACATGGCCATAGGAGGGCAAGGTGGGGGGAGTACATGCTATAGGGAGGGCAAGGTGGGGGAGTACATGCTATAGGAGGGCAAGGTGGGGGGGACATGGCTATAGGAGGGCAATGTGGGGAGTGGGGGAGTGGCACATGGCTATAGGAGGGCAATGGGGAGTACATGGCCATAGGAGGGCAAGGTGGGGGAAGCACATGGCTATAGGAGGGCAAGGTGGGGAAGTACATGGCTATAGGAGGGCAAGGTGGGGGGGGAGTACATTAAGGGAGGGCAAGGTGGGGGGAAGTACATGGCTAGGGAGGGCAAGGTGGGGAGTACATGGCTATAGGCAAGGTGGGGAGTACATGGCTATAGGAGGGCAAGGTGGGGGGGGAGTACATGGCTATAGGAGGGCAAGGTGGGGGGGGAGTACATGGCTATAGGAGGGCAAGGTGGGGGGAGAGTACATGGCTATCGGAGGGCAAGGTGGTGGTGAGGGGGGTAATGGTATTCTACCCTGTTCTGTGGATTAGTAAGCGATTGGGAGTGTTCACGCTGTGAATAGAAATTCTGTGGTGTGCAGTGATGCTAATTATGCATTGATAATTAATATATTTTTTTTATATAACTGGCTTGGTTTCTCGTGGATATGAGGCTGTTCAATTTCCTTTCTTTTCCACACAGCACGGGTAACGGAGAGATGATGAAAGTGCTTGTTTTTTTATGGTCCATTAATTCACCAACTCTTCTGCTCCATTAATGTTTAGTAATTAAGGTCTTTAGATGCTTACGTTCTTGGTGTGTCTGATGGAATTATTCAATAAAACCGGAATTGCAACCAGTAGGCAAGATAGCTGTGGTAATTCCTTTATTAGTTTTTCAACGATAAGTGATTTACTTTGTGAAAGAAGGAAGCTGTTTTGGTTTTTCTATGATTTTTATGTTAAAATATTGCTTTATGTTGGATGCTTTTTATCTCCGATTTACCTCCAAAATAAGTTTGGCTTAAATATCATAATTGTTTAATTTGTGCGTAAATACAAGTACCCTGATTATGTGTTGATCTCTTAGTAATTTAAACTTGTCACGATAACCTTAGTGAGAACTCTGCTTTTCTTTCATAGTGGTGAGGCTGTGTTTGTATATGTATTGATTGATCATTAGTAGTGCCTATACTCCAGTTTATACTGGGCTTTAAATATCTGTGCCTCTGCCAACAGAATCCTGGTTAAATTCTAACCTACATAAATAGCTATTAGAACCAACATTGTTACTTGACAGTTAGATATTCAGGGTGATAGCCTTTTCTCAAGGTTTCCAAATATAATTGTTGTCATAACCAATGCGGATAGCAGGCAAGGTTACACACTAATATTGACCGAAAATAGATAATTATATACAGACTTATTCATGTATTGTCAGACTCCATCACTAAACCAGGGACTGGGAGAAGTGACTAGGCGTTCGCAAATTTTAGACAATATATATAGCGTTGGACATTTAATATACATCTGTTTTGGTCTAACAGTACCATTTCTCAACATTTCCCCTTTTTATTAAACAAAATCTAAAATATTTCCATTTTCAAGCAAAAAAACATCCAGAAATTACTTGTCTCCCACCAAGAATGCATATAATGTGTGTCTGTCTGTCTCTAATTTTTTAGCTGAGAACTGTGTGTAATTGCTGCACAAATCACAGAATCCTTTGAAATAACTCACAAGGATAACTGTTGATGTACTAACGTGGTGTTCAATAAACCCACAAAACTACTCCTATAAAAGTGCACAATAGGATCCTAACAATTTGACATCTGTACAGTGCACATCTTTCATCACATGGACAAATGGGCTTTTTGCAGTCTTGTGCTCATGACATTGGGTGTCACCGAGATCCTGTTCTGACGGTAGCAGAGGTAACATTTCAAGTTCAGCTTAATTAAATGATCCTATTGCATACAATACTAGATGGATGAATAAATGAAGCCTGCACGTTGTCAGCCTGTGCCAGCGGGATATGATGGACCACTGCTTCTGTGAATGTCTGCTCGAGCATTGGAATGTTACATTGTGTACCCTAGCTATAACAACATTGGTTACTACTGGAGTATAGCGGGCATGTGTTTAGAGGCAAGTGCAAGGAAAGAGGTCACTTGAAAAAGGCCTTTTTGGGTTAGGTAAATTTTTGATGTCTCAACTAAGAAAATACCTCATGAGAGATTGTGGTGAATTGACAAGGAATTTGCAAATGTTAACGAAAAAAAAAAGATAATTATTTTTACATTTGCACTCTACTTCTCATCAAACAGAGTTATACACTAAAGTGAAAATAGTCAGGAATTCAAGCAGGGTTATTTTTGCGAATTAAATCTGAATGGCAAAAATATATTCTTCCACTCTGTCATAGTTACATCTTGACTATGTTTGCTTGTAGTTTGGATGTAATTTTCCAAACTCCGATATTAGGGAATCTTACATTTTAAGCCCAGAGTAGCTGGAAGTGTAGTTGACTTTTGACTTGGAAGCTATTTCTTGTTTTGTTTCTTTGACATAAATTTTTAAGTTCCCTTTCCCAAACGTTCTCACTGTAGTGAACAACCCCATTAGTAGATGGCATATTTTATGGCTGGAGAGATAACAATTACAGTAGGAAATGGTTGTAATCTATTTATGGCTTAATTGGTGCAGGGATAAAGCTGCTTTTGTGATATGCATACAAGGTAACTTTTTTTTTTTTTTTTTTTAAGCGGTAAAGTGATTTCTTTTTAATTCTTTTATGATTATACCCCAATAATTGCCTTTTTAGATTACCTTTTTATTGACTGGATCTTAAGATTTGGGTATCTCCATTTTGTTTACCTCTGTCGAGCCCTGGTTTACATCCTTTTAGAAATGCTTGCCTTGACTAGCTGAGTGTGGTGGGAGTTGTAGTTGTTGTTATTTATAAAGCGCCAACAGATTCTGCAGCGCTGTACAGTTTGGAGGTTAGAGGTATGTCCCATTAGCGAATAGGCTTAGTACCCTCCGTGAGAATAGTCAGGAATTTATAGTGAATTTAAAATTGAGGACCAAAGTTGCTAAACTGGAAGAATAGCTAACTTTGAATAGTTTGATCTTAAAGGACCACTCTAGGCACCCAGACCACTTCAGCTTAATGAAGTGGTCTGGGTGCCAGGTCCAGCTAGGGTTAACCCATTTTTTCATAAACATAGCAGTTTCAGAGAAACTGCTATGTTTATGAATGGGTTAAGCCTTCCCCTATTTCCTCTAGTGGCTGTCTCATTGACAGCCACTAGAGGCGCTTGCGTGCTTCTCACTGTGATTTTCACAGTGAGAGCACGCAAGCGTCCATAGGAAAGCATTGTAAATGCTTTCCTATGCGACGGGCTGAATGCGCGCGCAGCTCTTGCCGCGCGTGCGCATTCAGCCCAGGAGGAGGATCGGAGGAGGAGAGGAAGCAGAGAGCTCCCCGCCCAGCGCTGGAAAAAGGTAAGTTTTTAACCCTTTCCCCTTTCCAGAGCCGGGCGGGAGGGGGACCCTGAGGGTGGGGCACCCTCAGGGCACTATAGTGCCAGGAAAACGTATATGTTTTCCTGGCACTATAGTGGTCCTTTAAATGTGACATTCACTTTGAATTTGTGGCAACTCTGAACCCTAATATATACTATATACTAGCCATAGATCATTCACAGTGCCCTTTACACTTCCATTCCCTTATCACGTAACTCTCCTGGTGCACGATCTGCCATGAAGAAGTTAAAGGAATACTATAGTGTCCGGAATACAAATGTATCTCTGACACTATAATGTCTAACTATTAAGGTGACCATTCCCTTTTGCATCACTTTGAAAATCTGATTTAAAAAAAAAAATATTTTTTTTCCCTCCTTGTCACCCATGCTGCACCGGTCTTGCCATGGTTATGTCCGCCTGGCACGCTTTGATGATAGGGAAGCATTGGGAGGCTATTGCACATGCGCTGCAAACTACTGTACCAATCCGCATCTCCTCATAGAGATACATTGCATCAATACATCTCTATGGGAAATGTTCAGTGACTGCCAATAGAGGTGTTCCTTGGCAGTTTTTACGCTGAAAAGCCTGCAGAACCACTACATTAAGCTGTAGTGGTTCTGGTGACTATAGTGTCCCTTTAAATAATGCTGCTGGAGTTTGTCTTTTGGCCCCACCCCGTTTCAAATAGCAAAAATGTGAAAACGAAACTGTATCCATATTTTTTGGCAGACTATTTCTCTTTGAAGCAAACCACTTCCTGTGCAAAATTGGTGACTTTCTAGTGCTTTATTTGTAAGAAAATTTCCTCCTCCCCCCACATCACTGATTCCTGAAGTGCTGCAAGTTAAACCTTATTCAATAGTGCCAGCAATGTTTCAGTGCCGGATTTTAATATGCTTAACTGAATGTTGTGGAGAAATCACAAGGCCAGTGAATTGCAAATGAGGTAAAATATCAGATTTTGTTTAATTTTGAACAAAAATAAATATAAGTAACAGAATATGGTTTAATTAATAAATCATGTGACCCATTTTCCTCAAAATCAAATGTTGCCTTTAATAGAGCTCTGTTGCAAGCTGAGTTGAGTAGGGC